TCAAATAATAAAGAAATTGCAGAAAGAAATACATTTTACATAGTGAACAAGTAAACATTCCACAACATACATACTAGTATATACTCATACATGTAAGATAAAGTTTGCCATTTCTATAAAACCAATTTTATATCAAATATTCTATTGATATCTAGTAGCTCATGAGAAAGTTCTTAAACCACCTCCCTACAAATTAGAAAATATTTAATTTACCATTATAAGTGTGTCTGGTTGTCCAGAACACACAGAATAAAACTATACATAACGTTTATGCTTGATTGAGGGTTTTTTTCCCTTTTATTCCTCCATCTCAATTAAACAAGTTGTGAAAAAATAACAGTTTCCTCTGTCTGTTTTACAATACAATATATTCTTTAATATTAATCTAAAATCACAATAAATGTACTATCTGACAATTATCTTTCAATATAAATGAAGAAACAAATTATAATGAAGTATAATAACGAATGAATTATAATAATGTATTTCCTTTAGGCATGAAGCTTAACTCAATTATAGATGCAGGGTTTTGAATAGCAAATGGATCTTCTAAAAGTTTTTCTATTTTCTTCAATAAAGTAATGATTAAAAGTTTGAGGCAGAAATAAGTTGTAAATATATTTCTAGTTTTATTTAATTCAAACTCCCTTTGTTATTCATGTCTTCTTCAATGTAATGCAACATAATTTGGGAACATGTAGGAGATAAGGTGATGACTTTGAGTCTTGCTTGCAATAATGATAGTAATACTTTTGGAAAGCTTTATACTCCATATATGTTTAGCTGCTCATAAGGAATGCTTAAAATGTCAGTAAAATACGATAGCATTTTTATTACCAAATCACCACATAGAAAATATCTTCCAACTGTGGTTAATTTACATTTAGAAAAAATAAAATTCACTTTGAGTTCATGATCTGTCAAGAATTGTGAGGTTTCTGAGATCCCTCCTCCCCCTTCTTGTAAGCTAACAAGTTAGCCTGCCATAGTTTCAAAAGACATGAGACTCCTGGGACAGAGATGAAGGACTTTATTATTCACAGCAAACAGGACAGCACAAACTTCGTATTTCTTCTTGCTTCCCAAACCCCACCGGGCGACATGGAGGTTGCATTGGCCAGTGCTGCACATGCAGTGACTGTGCCACCGATGAGAGAGTCAAGTACAGAAGAACCTAACCTTCTAAAAGCTTCAAGTGAACATGTTCCACCTTGACTCAAAGGGAGACCTGATCTTTATTATCCTGGGCATTGCACCCATCTACGAGTGACTGAGGAGCCATGCTATTTCTGTTTTTCAACATTTCGTGCTATCCAGACATTCTTGAAGATATTCTAGAACAAATTTATCAGTGCTTCCATTTGCAAAATATGTAGAAATGCAAGAGACACATGGCAAATTGTCTCCCAGTGTAATCTCTCTTAGACTTTTTCTGGGACAACCAATACATTTCAGGATGATATAATGTTTAATTTTAGACAAAAATGCTGGATATTATGTTATCACTGAGAAGTATAATTTTGAATTTTCAACTGATATATCATGTAAAAATATCATACATTTCATTTCCATACATACTGTAGGAATGATTCTTTAGAAAGTTGTTCCAAATTATAGAGTAAAAGTATCCCTTTTTATTAGCAGCTATAGAAAATTAATAAATTATTTAAATTAATATTTTTTCTTTGAATATATTTTGGGGATTTAAAATATTTTTATTGATTTTAGAGAGGAAGGGAGAGGGAGATAGAAACATCAATGATAACAGCTTGCAACCCAGGCATGTGTCCTGACCGGAATTGAACTGTGACCTCCTGGTTCATAGGTCAACACATAATCACTGATCTTCACCAGCTGGGCTTGGGATATTTTAACAAGTCAGCTGGCTGTATTTCCAATTACTTTTCAATGTTGACATTTTAAATCATTCTTTTGCAGGGATATCATTAAAATTAATATATTGAAATTTATTGTTTTTATTGAGGTTTGTACATTTAGCACAATTGAAACAGGATGACTTTATGAAGGGAACATGTAAATAGAGAGGAGATGAGGACTAGGATTGACCACTTCAGCCAGAAAAGATAATGAGCAGTGGGGGAAGGGAGAAATCAGGAGAGTGTGATGGGCTGGAAGACAAGTGAAGAAAGTGTTCCAAGATAGAGCTTATAGTTATCCTTGTAGATGCTGGCAATGGATCCAGCAATATAAAGTATGAGAATTGATTACTGGGTTCAGCACTGATGGGGTAATTGCTGACTTGAAGTGGCTTTTCAAAAAAGAATAAGAAAAAAAGTGAATATAAAAATGTAGAGAGTGAATATAGAAAATGCTTTTAAGGAGTTTTGTCAAAATGGAGAGCCTGAAATCAGGTGTTTCCTCAAGATTGAAGTAGATTCAAGGAGGTTTTTTGTTTGCTGGCTTTTGTTTTTAAGATGGGAAAAATTAAATCATGTTTTTATGCTGCTGGGAGCAATCCAGTAGGAAAAGTGACAGTGGCGTAGTGAGAGGGAAAGGGCTTTCTGAAGCGATGATCTAGAATTGCACAGAAGGGACAGGATGGACAGTTCAAACCTCATAATAGGAGGAAAGGCACATAGAGATAAACACAGATACACGTGGGTGGCAGCCCTTGTAGAAAAGCTCTTCTAACTGATTCTATTTTCTAAGTGAAGTGGAATCACAGGGAGGTGTTAGAGGTTTATATTTACTGAGAGAGTGGATGGATTCTGGAATAGCAGTATGATTGCCTAGCAGCGTCAAGAAGTCATTCGGGGTTGTAGGCATGAATGTGAAACGAGAGCAGTCAGCATACATTGTTTTTTCTGTTATCGTGATCAGCTCTTCAGGGGCAAGCACATAGAGGCACGGAACTGAATTGAACTAGGGTTTGGGTTTCACCAATTGTATGGCAAGAAGGACCACAGAGCAATGGATTTGCGGAGGTAGATAAGGGGATGATTTTAATATAAGGCAAGTAAAGACATGAAGATGGTGAGCATCCAGGTTATCCCATTGCCCCTGAAGACATACCATGTAGACAATTGCCAGTGGCGTTTATACGAGTAGAACTCTCCTTTTGTGACATTTTAATGCTATATATCAGCATGGCTTAGAGACAGGTTTGGGCGTGGGGGTGCTTTGTGAAGGAAACCAAGGGAAGCACTGGACCACATTTCCTGTCAACCAATATCTTCTTGGACCTGAATTGAAGGATTGATAAGACAGAGATATTAATGGCTAATATTTCCAAAGAGCAGACTTTTCATGTTATCAAAGTGTATCAGTAGAAATATTTGTCAAATCAGTAAATTTACCAATGATAATATTTTGCTTAGATAACTTGGGCCAACATATATATTTTCTGCAAGGGTTAATCAAAAGATTTTAATGAGAGTAAGAATTCCACATTGAAACACAGCACTGAGATTTCTACCTCCGTTATTTTCCTTGTGCATCTCAAACATTGTACTTAATACTAATTTTCATTAAAATGACAAATGAAACAATTTCTTGTGTGTATATTGGAAAAACAACAAAACATGAACATGATGCCATTTCTACCAGAGATACCTCAGTAATTTCTTAAAATTGCTCTTTTCAGTTCTCAAGAATTACCTCTGTACACTCAAATGTTTTAATTAGTATTCTCAGAGCTTACAGAACGCCAATAATTCCATTATTTATATTTCCAAAAAGTGAATATTATTTTATAGCAATAATTATTAGATTTTAAAAATACTGTCAAATGTTTTCAAATGATGGGATAAAAGATTAACAGAGTTTCTGCTTTGTTTTGTTACTTAAATTTGGTTTGCTTATATATACATGTGTTGAATAACTACTGGTATTTTATGTAACAACAAAACTGAATAAACATATTTAAAAATTTCTTTGAAACACCCATATCATATATGTTTAGTACAAAAACTACATAAAACAGTTTTTTTTTTCATTTTCCAAAGTAATTATTATAAAGATAATGCTTGTCTTGTTTAATAATGACTATCAGGTGTGAGAGCAACTTTTCCTTAAAAGCACCATGCCATCTCTGAGAATAAGCTGATTTTTTTCCCGAGGACACATTAAACCTCTCCCCCTACAGGAAATCGGCTTGCCTGCCTAAGACATCAATCCCCTACATAGAGGCTGTTGGGGTTCATGAAATCTGTACTGTGACCTTTAGGAGAATCATTTCCAGCAGATGAGGATTCATTCCTGGCTCTTTCACCTGTGTATGGGCTGTATGAATGTGGACAAGTTACTTCATCTTGAGCCTCGGTTTTGTCATCTCTGTTCCCCTCAAACCCTTGAACAGAGTATTCAATACAAGAGAACAGGACTTAATGTGGTTCAACAAATAACCTCTAGGGCTAGCACACAGATGGATTCTGAACAAGTACTGTTGAATGAGTAAGTATACCAACTATATACTTAGAAGAGTACAAGAAGAGCAACCGTATAATAGGGGTGTTTTGAGGCTGAAGTGACATACTACATGATGGGCACAGAAGTCCTAGGCTAAAACAACTATTCCTATTGAGCAGAGTTCCAGAGAAGCCTGGATAAGTTTGCCTTCTATGTCCAGCCTCTATTTCCCCTTCAGATTGTGAGCGGGATTTAACTAGTGACCCTACGGCGCGCTTTAGCACTGGAAATTGTGTAGGAGAAAAAATACTTATTTGATTACTACTCATAGCTCCTAAATCTTTCATAAAATTTGGAAGAAGGGGTAACAAGCCAAGTGAATTAAAATATTTTAGCATATAATCTAAAACTCATGCCATCAATAAAAATGTTTTTAGGGCTCAAGAATGCACACCAGAAAACCAGAGGTAGTATATGTGATAGTTCATTAATTTTAATATACATACTTTAAATTTTTACATTTCCTAACTCTGGATGCATTTTATACTTGATGGCATCTTATACTTGATTGGGTTCTGATTTTTCCTTCCTTCCTTCCTTCCTTCCTTCCTTCCTTCCTTCCTTCCTTCCTTCCTTCCTTCCTTCCTTCCTTCCTTCCTTTTCTTTGCAGTTCACCATATAATGGGATTTCAGTATAATTGATAAAATATGATATAGTCACATGTTAAAGCAGTATTGCTCCATATTTATTTCTTATCACCACCCAACCCTGGCAAGAAGCCTCTTAGCTATTTTTTTCTAATTTCCTACCCCATTAAATTTTAATACCATAGATATACTCTATATCTGTTAATGTACTGCACATATATGTGTGTTTTATGAATAAAGAGTAAGATATTTTTGCCCTGCAAGAAACCATTTTCATCCCATTTACACCCATTGAGAATACAGGTATTAAAATTAAAGTGATACTCCATATTATACTTAGCTTTAAAAATCTCATTTACTAGAATATTGGGAAACATTAATTAACTATTAGGTTTAGAACTTTTGGCTTTAATTATATAACAGAATGTCTTGGAATCTTATTATTATCATGAATGTCCAAATGCTGTCAACATGCGTACAAAGTTTGAACAGTTGTTATTTACCCCTATAGTCAGAAAGTTATCCATAATGTTTTTTAACAAATAAAAGATCTTCAAGTTGATCCAGTGATATCATTCAACGTATCATTCTCATTTCATAAAATAAGACTAATTAATGATTTCAGAATATAAATTTAAAATGTTCACTACTTCATTTTTACATGTTCATGATTTTAAAGACATAACTTGAACACGACATCAATAAATATGTTTAAAGTCCATCTAATTTCCATGGAATACTAAGAGATATCTGCTTTACAGTGTTGGGATGAAGAAGTGTGATTCTTGAAGCCACTGTATAGCATTCTTCTACTGAAGTCTAAGCAGTTGGGAGTCCCATCTATGTAGCAATGGTGGAATACAGAGCTCAGCCCATTTGTGACCAGGGTTTGCACCAGAGGGAAGAAATGACCAACAAATCAGGATTTTTTCTCTTGTAAAGGTAATTGTTGTATTCAACAGCTTTAATGGATGAAGAAAGGAGTGATTTATTTACTTGGGGAATATCTTTAAATAACAAAATTGTTTAGTGTACTCTTAAATGTTCACTTATCTTTTCTCCGGGCTTGGCAGTTTAACATTTATTTATTTTTTTTAAATCAGTAGTGCAAAAAACTTTTAAAATTAGTGATGCATAAAACTTTAACTCTTGTATGTATTGCAATATTTTACATTTGTCAATTCTGACGTGTTATATTGGTCTAGTTGCATTGGGTTGTGTTAGATGGTGATTTTTGAGACTCGAGTGTATCAAAAAACCGTTGTTGGGGAGATATGAACTATTCTAGCAAACCAAGCAACGTATCAGCAAAAATGAACACAAGGAGAACTCAAAAGAGACTCGGCAGCAGTACACAGACAATCACATCAAGGCTTTATAGATCGAGTTAGTTTTACACAAGCTTTTGTAAATAAACTGAAAGTGAACTCAAAACCAGAAATCATCTCCTCCACTGCTCCTAGTACTTGCTCTTTCTCTGCCTTTTAGTCGAAGCATCTCCATGATGCTCCGGGCATAGACATCTCTCAAGTTCACGCTGATATATGAGTCAGTGGCTATATTCTTGGTAAGCTTCTTCAGAGCCTCACGCTGTCTAGCAGCTGCTTCCTTGAGCTTTAAGGTAAAATAGCAAGCAGAGAAGCGGTCGTTAATAATAGCAATAGGCAAAGCCAAGACGAGGATTCCCGATAATATACACATGAAGGCCACGATTTTGCCTGTGGTGGTGTCTGGCCGAATGTCCCCGTAGCCCACCGTAGTCATGGATGTTGTGGCCCACCACCACGCACAAGGGACGCTTGTGAAGGTTGTGTCAGGAATGCTTTGCTCAGCAAAATATTCCACAGTGGAGAAGATAGAAATTCCCACAGACAGAAATAGGAGCAGTAGGCCGACTTCTTCATAACACTGGGTGATTGTCATTCCAAGTGAGCGTAATCCTGTAATAGAACATTGCTGTCAGTCACTGGCACCCCTCCTCTCCTCCTCCCTCCTCCCACCCTTCTCTCCCTTCCCTGCTATCTACCCACAAACATGCATTTCATATCTACTATGTCTCCAGCACTGGGCAATGTTCTGGGGTATATTGATGACAAATCATAATCCTTGTCTTCAGGAAGCTCATAGTCTAGTTGATGGGGCTGGATTGAGAAGGATAAAAAGAAATATAATTAGACCCATTCACTCGTGTACTTGTTAAACACCTACTATTTATACAGAAAAGGTGAGGAATGGAATGAAAAAGCATGGAGGGGTATATGATTGGAATGTGTACGCGAGTCTGTACAATGGGAGGTCTTTGCAGTGTTGGGTGTGGAGTGCTCACTAGGTCAGACTAGTGCCTGACTTTGACACACTTTTCTAATGCCAATTGTATGCTGTCTACTTTTCTCACCCTCCCAATAAAGTTGAACACAATGAGCGTATCATTATCTGAAAACCAGAGGCAGTGAAGGGCATACACCAGGAGAATGAAGTGAAGCAAGTTAGGCATCAGTGACAAAACTGAGGCCAGAACTTCAAATGTACATTCAGAGGATAATCTTAGAGGTCTTCCAGGAGGGGTTCCTAAACTCCCATGACATCCATTGAGATTCTAGTCCTTAACATGAAAGCTCTAGGAAAATACTTCCTTTGAGTACATAGAATTTCTGCATTCTTGTAAGGAAGTAGACCTTAATATAGAATATTCCTCCATTGCAAAAAGGTATGGAGGACTGGAGCCATTAGGAAATTCTCTCACTGGTGAATTCCTCATTGTTGTTCTGAGGATTCATTGGGCCCCTGGGAGACAGACCAAAAAGAGGCCATTCCCATATCTAAAGAGGTTAAGCCTTAGGGAGAGTAAGATGCGACTGTAATGGGATTGTTATTTGAATAAGGTATCTGCCCCAACACTAGAGAGATACTGCTAAATGTGTACCCACATTTTGAAGCCATATCAACCTGATGCCACAATGATATTGTCTCTGAAGTCCAAGGCGATTCCTCTTAGAATCATTTAAAAATTTTTATTCACTCACTAGAGACTACTTGAGATGCATTAAAATACTACTGGTGCTCTCATCATTTTGAATTTTGTTCTTAAAATGTTAAGAGACTCTTGAATTATTTACCAGCTACTTTTGCAGATCAGTGAATATTAATTTTGAGGCTTAACTTACAAAGAAAACTTTTTAGAATATCTTCAGAATACATTTTAGAAAACTGGCCTTGATGTGTCTGTATTGAGTTGCATTTCTGAAATAAATTGACAGCATATAAGGAAAAGCATATAGTGCTTGGGGAGACTGTTTTCATTTCAAGATGAAACCCCCTAAACAATTTTGTAAAGAAACATAAAGTGGTCTGAACTTCTTCATGTTACATCTATTAACTCAGATTATTCTTAAAATATAGGAGATAGAGGTTGTATTTATTATTCTTTTTTACAGACAAGAAGACTGAGACATAGACAGATAGCATCTCTAGTACAAGGCTACAGAGCCAGGATTTAAATCTGGCATCTCTGGCCTACCATTGCTCTAACTTATTGCATAACACCTTTCAATTTGTCCTTATAGTTATTACATGGGGGAATATGTCATCTATGTCTATATTCTGCTAAATGTTATGCTTAGGTTAAAATTGTCCAATATTTGTTCAAGTGTCCATATCTTTTTAATAAATGAAGATTCCATTAATACTTTGTATTTCTTTAGAACTGAAAAAAAAAAACCTTTGAAGAGGTGACATTGTGGAAATTACTATTATTTTCTTTTTTCTTTCTTTTGGGAAAAAAATGTACTCTATACTGGGTGTTTTTAAATTGAATCCTGTGAAGAGTTTATAAATACTAGAAGCAAGCATCCTATTATGTGTGTCAGAAAACAAAGGGTAATACTTGAAAAAGTTGTCAGTAACCCCATTATCAAATCCTTGGTGTGTGAGACTAGCTAGGAAAACACACTACCAAGATTATATTAGGATAAGTCCCAATTACTTTAGAGATGTGAAAAAAATATCTGAGGTTAATTTCTCTCCATGAGGAGAGACAATTATCATTAATGTCTTTTAGGTGATCCGCCAGGCACATTTCTAGAGAAATAAGGTGGTAAAGGATTCTCTAGTTCAATTATTTATATTCACATGAATTGCATTAGGTATGTATGATATCAATATGGCATTCTACTCCAGTTGTTTCTTATTCTACTCCTGTGATAACAATATCAAGGTTTTGCTTCAAGTCCAAGAACCATCTACATCAAAATTACTTGTGAGCTTGCTAAAATCTATGTTCCTGGACACAACCCCAAATACTAGAATATAACTCTCTACAGACTGGGGCTAAGAATTAGCCTCTTAAGAAGATTTTCAAGGGATTCCTCTTTTCAGGAAAGTCTAAAAGAAGGTAACCTATGTAGTCCAGAGTATCCAACAGGCCCAGGGCCCGCCTCTGAGAATCACTGCCCTCAGACAGGCAAGGGTCATCCGTAATGGATTTGTGTGATATCCCCTGACATTGGCTATCATTTTAAGTACAGTTGTGTGGAGATTTTTCTAGGGAGAATGTTTGTTCAATTATCTAGGCCAGTGATGACGAACCTATGACACGCGTGTCAGAGGTGACACGAGAACTCATTTTTTTGGTTGATTTTTCTTTGTTAAATGGCATTTAAATATATACAATAAATATCAAAAATATAAGTCTTTGTTTTACTATGGTTGCAAAGATCAAAAAATTTCTATATGTGACACGGCACCAGAGTTAAGTTAGGGTTTTTCAAAATGCTGACACGCCGAGCTCAAAAGGTTCGCCATCACTGAGCTAGGCTTTATGGTACACAAAAAGCTAAGGAGTTCTTGTTCCCATCTCTCTCATGCGTCCCAGTCAAGAAAATTCTCAGATACCAGATGAATTCGTGTCTTCTGCTTTCTCCCCAAACAAGTATTTCCATTGTTTCTTCAAAACGTAGCAGAAGGCCACCAGTGCCTGGTCATCTCTCTCCCTGTGTAGCCAGAGAAGCCTCAGCAGGGCAGGCTTTCTCTTCTGCCAAAGAACATGTGTGGCAAGCACTTTCGTGGACACAGAAGAGAAACTGGCTTATGTCCCTAACTATCATGTATAACTTAGGCATATATTTTAATGTGCTGTTTATGCATATTTAATTTGGCACCTTCTGGAGGCAGAGTGTCTTTAGATTTCTGTTTTTGTTTTATATTTTCTGGGCACAGGGTTAAACCAAATTGAGGTGAACAAGTGGTCAAATGATTTCTCCAGTGCCTTGGGGAGAGAGAGTGTGAGAGGCATGGTTTCCTTTGTACCTGTGATAACAACTTTAAGGTTTTGCTTCCCAATAACTTTTTGGAGATCATGGTCGGGTGGAATATGGGAGTTGATAATTTTTTAAATATATTTTTATTGATTTCAGAGAGGAAGGGATAGAAACATCAATGATGAGAGAGAATCATTGATCGGCTGCTTCCTGCACACCCCACAATGGGGATCGAGCCTGCAACCTGGGCATATGCCCTTGACCAGAATCGAACCCGGGACACTTCAGTCCGCAGGCCGACACTCTATCCACTGAGCCAAACCAGCTAGGGTGGGAGTTGGTGTTTTGAGTATCAATGCAGAGTTGCTTCCCTTGGAAAGTGGGCCACACCCTTCCTGCTTAAAAATAATAGCAAACTGAAAGACATCAATGAAATCCGAATACCTGTGGAATGCCTGCCCAGCTTTAGCATGCGCAGGGCCCTGAGCAGCCTCAGAACCTGGACGATGCGCCCCACGTTTTCCAGATCCTGCGTGGTCTCACTCCCACTCAGGCTCTCTACCAGAAGAGTGATGTAGAAGGGCAAGATGGCCAGCAGGTCTATGATGTTTGGCACCTTTCGGAGGAAGCAGCACCTGTCCCGCACGCACAGGAAGCGCAGGGCAAACTCCCCAGTGAACCAGCTAATGCAAAAGTACTCCAGGATCTCCAGCACCTGCAGGTCCAGCCAGCTTAACTCAGCCGACATCAGGGCCATGTTGACGACGGACACCACCACGAAGACGATGGAGATGACCCCAAAGATGCGGGAAGCTGTGGAAGACCCAGGTTTCTCCAGGATGTCCCAGAGCTTCTGGCGGACGGTGGGACAGGGTCCTTGTGAGAAGTCTTGTTCACTCTCATGTTGACTTTCCTGGTCTTCTGTGTCCTTCTTAAAGTCTAAGGTTTCACTCAGCTCTTTCCTTCTGAAGTATCTTTTAGAGAAGGACAACTTCGTGATTAGTCAACTTTTAAAAAATGCTTAAGTAAAAAAGAGAATTACACTTGGTGGTGAGGTTATGCTTCTTATTTTAGTTAAATGCAGAACATGTCCACTCATATCGTACCCAGGCTGCCTCTTGCCCACAGTATTCTATCTTTATTATTTAGGCTTATTCTTTTTAAAAAGGCAAATTTGTGGTAGAAGTTCATACAAAAGCATTTATAGAGAGCAAAGCTACTTTAGTGCATTTTTACTCATTTTCTGGCAACAAGAACTGAAGTTTGCCACATGGAACTTTGTGTGTTTGTGTGTGACAGAAAGGTATTTGTGAAGAAATGACAGCAACAGAAAGAGAACTGCAAAGTGATCGTAAAAGTCAAGGAATCAACTTTCTATTTGTGTATTTAAAACAGAGTTCCATCCAAGTTTTTAAACGAGTGTCCTGGGTTTGCTAAACGATCATGCTTCACATTGAGACCCACACCCCTATATATGCCTCTTCTGCAGCATAGCTTGTGTGACTCCTTTATTCAATCACCAAACATTTATTGCAGGCCTGGCCTCCCTCGCCCTGTAAATGCATGGGCATATGTTCATTGAAAAAAGAAGGTGCAACAAGTTCCAACCCAAAGTAGGCTTTGACCCTTTCCACCCCCACCCCCACCCCTGCCTCCCCCCCCCCCCTGCTACCTTCCAGCTCAAAAGTGGCCACAGATCCCTAGGCCAGGGTTTAGCGAGGCTTGTGCAAACCCTCAACTCTTCACCTCTGGCGCCCTCCCTCCAATGCTCCCGCCTCCCCGCCCAGCCACCGCGCGCCTCTCGGTACCTGTCCCTGCAGCAGGAGTCGATGCTGAGCTCGTCGATGCCCCAGTACTGGATCTCCTGCAGGAAGGAGAGCGCGCACAGCTGCTCCATGACGTGCAGGCGGCCGGTGCGGTAGTAGTGCAGGACGTAGCGGAAGGCTTGCGAGCTCCGGTCGAAGAAGTACTCGTTGTCCACCGGGTTGGCGTCGTCGCAGAGCTCCAGGGGGCTGGGCGCGGCGGCCAGGGCCCCGGGGCGGCGGTACGAGGCCACCACCACGGCCAGCTTGCCCAGGCGCGTGTGCGGGAAGCAGGACAGAGCCTGCTGCGAGAGCACGAAGCGGCTGCCGCCCACGTTGACCGTGAAGCTGTCCCCGAGCGCCAGGGGCTCCCCTTCGCCCTCGCTGCAGAAGACGCTGGACTCCAGCGAGGACAGGGAGACGCTGTCCAGCGGCGAGTCCCGCGGCGCCCGGCCCCGGGGAGGCAGCTCCATCCCGGCGGCCGCTGCCCGGGGGCGCCACCAAGTTGGGGCGGTGGCACGGCCCCTGGTGGCGGCTGGGATTTCCCGGGATGCCGAGGAGGGGGTTGCCTCCCACCCGCGCACCCCTGTTCTCTCCACCCCTCGCTGCTAAGGGAGCTGCGAGTGCGCGGTGGCAGCAAATCCACGTGCAGAGCGCGGAGGCGAGGAGGGGAGGGTCGTGCCCGCAGGGCGCACTGCCTGTCTCGATGGCCCTCCCCAGACTTAGGCACCCCCTCCCGGACTTTGTAATGTAGATCCCGAGCCCACGGGGTGCAGGGATGGAAAGCCTGGTTATTTGTGGGGGCCGCGGGTGAGGAGGGGCGTAGGGAGGTTGAGATTCCAGGAGGAGGAGACCCGATGACTCTTGGCGGGCGGGATGCAAGCGAGGGGATGGCAAGACTCACTCCTGCACGGAGGGCACCCAAACGGAAAGTTCAGAAAGCAGAGGCAGTGGCAACCCGGCCCGAGTCCCTTCCCATCTCTCTTGCGGCGGCGGCTTCACGGGCCTCCCCGGGAGTGCTCCCTGGGGGGATGGGGTGGGGGGCGGGGGGCGACGGGCCTGTGGGGCAGGGGCTCTGGGCGAGGGCGCCGCCTCCTTTGCCCCCGCTCACTCTCATTCTGCTCTGATGTCACTCACGCTCTATTTTCCTCGCCCGGCTCTCTCGGGGGTTGACCTCCTGGTTGAGAAATAAGGATAATTAATGATGGCTTTTCATGGAAGTCTCAGGGAGTCACACAGAACGAGGGGTCCCCATGGCCAGCTCCAGCCGCGTGCTGGGGCGCTTTGGCCCCTCGGCTCAGCCATTTCGGTCCCTACAAGTTTGCCGGCGAGCCGGTCTCCGGGGCGCGCTCCCGGGCGCACAGCGGAGCTCTCATTTATGGAGCAGGGACTAGACCGGCGAGGGGAGCGTCATGGGAACAGCGCCCGGCGCAGGGAGAAGCCGAGTGACGTGTCCAGGTGAGCCGGGAGGTGTTCCCACGGCCCCGGGAGCAGCGTCCTGGCCAACCTGTTGGATAGACACCGGGCGGAGTGGGGAGGAGGGACGGGACTCACCGGCGGTCCGGGCACATCTCGGAGGCGCCAGTGGGCGCCGCTGGTAGGGCAGCTGTGCTTGACTCCTCTGGTCTCCACGTGAGGTCTGACTTGACCTTGGAGGAAAACTGTGCTCTCAGCTGAGCGCTCCGGAGCTCGTTGCCTTGTCTCCACCCGCCGCCTGCTCTGTCCCCTTGGCTAAGGCAGCGAGCGCCTGCCCCCACCCTCGCTCGCTCGCTCGCTCTGAGCCATAGGCGGTCCCCAGCACCAGCTGTGGGGGATGCAGGGAGCTGAGGGAGGTGAGGCGGGAGGAGGAAGTGAGGCGGGCTGTGACTGAATATTATATTCATCCTGAAGACACTTCAAGGATTACCGCATTAGGTTCCCGTTGCCCTGAATCTGTGTGCTCCCAAATCCAGGGAACAAAAAGAACAAAAAATTCTACTTGCACAAGTCTGCTAAAGCCAGGGTTAAGGCAGTTATTACATTAACTGCTTTGTGTGGCATGATTCAAAGTTTTTTTCATTTCCAGCAAGCACTTGGGAATACTGCTTTTTCCCCCAAAAAAGTCTTTGCAAGAGGGAATGAACCACATTCATTTCCCCCCGGCCCCCCCTTGTAAATAGTTTTAGAAAATCTATACAAAGAAGAGATGAGCAGGCAGCTTGACACACTCTGAGAACTGCTTCATAGATTGATTTGAGGTGTGGCTGTTTAGTTCTGGAATGAGAGTGAGGGGGGGGGGTGGGGGGGGCAAAGGAGGCAGCGCCCTCGCCCAGCTGGCTGTGGGAATGTCAAAGGCCTCAGTGCCTTCCTCACTAAAATGTCAGGTTTTGATAAAACACCCAGTATTTATTGAGTGCTTATTTTCTGCCAGGAAATTCTAGGTCATTTACTCACTTAGTACCTTTTTAAAAAAAAAAAAATCATAATAACAATACTATGAAGTACCCGTATACCCATTTTACAGAAGGGGAAACTGAGACACAGAGAAATTATTGGGCCAGTCATACAGTCCAAATTCAAACCCAGGATGAATTGTCAGAGGCTGCCTTCATGAACACAATGCACGGACGGATCATTTTTGTGTAGTTTTTAAGTAAAATCGAAGTGTGGTTGCATTTATTTATTGATTTGTATCTTTCCCAATTTTACCCAAATGTTTTTTAATTTCCATTATGAACTAGGTACTATTCTAGGTGCTTCAGATAGATCCATGAAGAAAACAGGCAAGAGTTCACAGTTCTGTTGAACCGTCTTCATTACTGTGTGTGAATAACTTTAATGAATGATTAGCAATAATGGCTGCCCTAGCTTTACAGATGGTGGCGAGGAAGGGGGAAACCTTGCAGAGGAGAATGACAGCTCTGGGTGAGAAGCGAGGGCTTGGATAGGAAGCCAGAGGTAGGGAGAGATGACAGGCTTGTAGGCCTCCTGCACTGCCTCCTGGCCTTCAGTTGTAATTAGTGGTGTTTTGTAGAAGTAATTTTGACAATAAGCACCCCTTAAGTGAAAGGCCCAGGCTAAGCATCTGATCACATCACTATGATCCCAGTAGGTACTGCCATCCTCCATTACAGATCTCAACTCAGAGACTCACGGGCACTAAGTAACTTTCCCAGTCGCACAGTGAAAAGGTGAAGGAGTGTATGAAGGGATGAAAACCAGTGTCTTTCTGATTCCAGATTTCATCTCAAGTGCTAGGGTCCTAACATTTTCACTTGGGCTTTAATTATTGATGAAAACAATTTCCACTAATGAAAACAATTATAACAAGAGCGATAACGACTCGTTAACTGGGAGCATATAAATACAAATGACCCAGTTTAAAAATATAGAGTCTCTCGGTAACAGAAATCCCTGCCTTCTTCCCTGCCCAATTCCCTTTAATTGATTGTCTTTCTACTTCCTCATTGATCGGCCAGGTTTGAGTCAGAGAGCTTAATGAAAAGGATCTGATCAAGGGGGAAGAAAGTCTATTCAAAGGATAGCCTTCCTGCTGTCTGATCTTGACCTGAAATTTACCCGAAAGTATGTCAAGAAGTGAAATGAGAATTGCTGCTAAGTAGCTAGGGGTGATGAGGTCTTGCTTTTGCTTTAATTCCTCTACAGATTGGGAGGAATGTGATTATCATGTAGGAGGCAGCACAGTACTGCAGTGTGAAAACTCCACAATCTAATGGCTTTGGGTATACTTCCCTAGTCACCAGATGTCACATTCAGGTGATTTTCATTAGCAGTCTTGTTATGAAATGCTCTGCTGTTATTTGGCTTTATCTATCAAGTCTTTGAAATATCAAGGTGCATATTAAATCGTCATGTACAACTACTGTTTTTAATTCTTCCAATTTTTATGAATATTTCTAAATTTATTAGTGAACAACATTTATTCTTAACAGTCATGTTATAAATTGGATTAAAACCAAAAAAATCACAGCATACTTTAAATGTGACTTGCTTGATCATAATTATGAAACAAAAGTTAAAAGTCATTTGTGTACATTAGAAACTCCTTTTATTAAAAATCTAGAGCAGCCCTGGCTGGTGTGATGTCAGGTGTGATCCCTTGCACCAGGAGGTTGCCACTTCCATTTCTGGTCAAGGGCACAGGTCCAGATTGTGGGTTGCATCCCCGATGCCTAGCAGGGGGCCTGCAGGAGGCAGTCAATTGATGTTGTGCTCTCACATCTATGTTTCTCCCTCTCCCTCCCTCTTTCTCTACAAATCAATAGACTATTCTTTTTAAAAAAATCTAGAGCATTTTATTTGTTTTTGAAAAAATAATATGAGAATGTGTTTATATTAATTATAAACATATATAAAATTATAGTATCCTTTTCTGTGATTTGTTTAAATATGTTATGATGTTTCTGTGAAATTATTGTCATCTTTTATATGAATATTAAAAATAATTATACATATATGATCATAAATCATTGAAACATTTTTTGAGGAAAATGTACATGCTTTATTAATATACAAATAAAATTTACATTTATTTTTTTAAATTTAATAGGGGAAATATAATGAGTGAATAATTTTGAATAAAGGGCTTTATATAATTCAACTTGATTAAACTATACCTTTCAATTTTAGTACTCTCACTGTACACTCAGACATTTACACTCAAATCCTTTTAATTTTTATCATTCATTAACAATGTGGACCATAGTTCATGTGAAGTGTGAATACCTATCTTTGAGTCTGTGTTTGATTCCCTAGAGACTGACAACCAGATGAGCTCATTGTAATGATGCTTTAAAAAAAAAAATGCCTTTAGGTATAGACAAATGGCTTTGTCCCAGTTCCCTTGAGTATGTTGGGATATGTTTAAAGGTAAAGAGAAATCTGACAAATTCTATCTATTCATCTTTCATCTGCCTTCTAGGTGCTTGGAATAAATCCGCGCAATTGTGTAACAGCCTACTCTAACGCAGAATTTAGCTTAATGTGGGCTTGTTCTGGATTCCTTCCAAGGGGAGGCAATTATCTTTGGAAGTATCCTAAAACTCATTTTTTAGCCTAGTCTGCTAAAGAGATCATTGGATGAGTTGATGATGGTGATGATGAGGATAAGAATATGATAATAATAAACGCTGCCTTCCCTAGTCAACCCCTCCTCTGTCTTTTATTAGCTGTGTGACATTAACAAGTTTCTTAAGCTAAGTCTCATTTTCCTTATCTGTAAAATAGGGGTGACAATAGTATTTACCTTATGTTGTTTTTTTTTTCAAATATATTTTATTGATTTTTTACATAGAGGAAGGGAGAGGGATAGAGAGTTAGAAACATCAATGAGAGAGAAACATTGATCAGCTGCCTCCTGCACACCTCCTACTGGGGATGTGCCCGCACCAAGGTACACACCCTTGACTGGAATCGAACCCGGGACCCTTCAGTCCACAGGCGAATGCTCTATCCACCAAGCCAAACCGGTGCTGGCTACCTTATTTTGTTTTAAAATTAAATGAGATAATCTATGTAAATGTTTAGTGCATGTCATTGTTCTTGCTGTCATTTTTACCATTACTATAACATTTCAGGGTGTTTTTCTGAACTCCCTTCTTACTGAGTAATGTAATAGGCACCATGTTAAGACCTTACTTCATTTATAATTCACATAACTGTATGAGGAAAGTATTATCAGCATTCTGACTTTATAGATGAGAAACCAGGATCACAGTGTTTAAGTAATGTCTCAAGTGCCATCTGATAGTTGATATAGACTTGATCACACTTGTTTGACTCAGCCTCTGAAGGTCATTAATGTGAAAATAATGTGATGATGAGAAATCGCTGTTAGAAATACTCCTTTCTAAAAGTCCTTTATCATGAGAAAATGTCTGTTCTATTCTTCAAACAATTAGGAGGTCATTATACTTTACAGACCGTGACCAACACATTGCTTGTGATTTCACATTTTACTAAATTGGATCTTTCTTCTAACCTCCCTTAAGGAGATAGTTGAATGGATGGGGCATTAAGTGATTCTCACTCTGCCACTATGAT